TCTCATATTCTATATCTGTAGAAGCTTCTTGTGTTTTAAAACAGAGATTTCTTAAGAAGAATAATTAGACTGACTGTTCTAGGGTTTTTTTTTTATATTGCCAATGATGTTTGGAACGTTAATGTCAATGGTGATCCATTATTTTTCCTCTGCAATAAGTTTAAGAGTGTCAAAAAAAGCTTTTATATATTGGAATTTTTATAATTCTAATTTTCTTTCTAATTGTATTAATGAAACTATATATGAATATCTTGGATGTTAAACCTCTTTGTAAATATTTATTTAATCAAGCCTTTTCTAATTAAGATAGTCTTCATAATCTTATCTATTGTAATTTGAAATGGTTAAAACAAATAGCTAAGTGTGAATGATTATCTAAAGGGCAATATGATGCTAAGTTTATCTACAAAAATATTAGAATTATAAAAATTTTATTTTTATTAAAAAAATTTAGTAGAATATATTTAATTACCTTGAAATAATGATATTGCCAATAAAATCATCCATTTTTTAAAAATATTTACTTAATAATTATGTTAATATTCGTCCCTCTATTTTTGATAAATTTGCTATTATTTATATCATTTCCTCTTTGGATTGTGATGTTTTAATAAAGATCTTCTCTAATGAAGAGATTAAAAATGTTTTTTATTCTATTAGAAATTGCAAATCTCTTGAACATAACGGATTTACTTATAAATTTTTTAAAGAATACTGAAATAATATTGGGATAGTTGTATCCACGCTATAAAATATTATTTTTATGTTGGTAAGCTTCATAATAGGATTAAACATATTGTCATCACCTTAGTCCCCAAAAAGAAATTTGCTCAAACCTTATATGATTATCTCTCTTTGTAATACCTTATTATTTAAGGTTATTGTTAAGCTTTTAGCTGATAAAATAAAAAATATATATATTTTGTGATATTATTAATTTTATTTATTCTGATTTATTAAAGAGAGTGATATTGATTATAATATCATATTTACTAATGTTTTTTTTTTGTATTTTTAATTAAGTTAATTTTGGTAAAAAAAATTTGTTCTAAATTTGATCTACTTGAAGCTTTTGATAGATTTAGGGCCCGTTTAGGGCAGCTTATTTGGTGCAATGAAGTTTTGAAAAACGTGACCTGACTTATTTGGGTAGACTGCGTTTTGACAGTTTGTGCGTTTTCAAAAAGCTGAAAACATCGTTTTCACGCCGCATCTATCTAGGTGCGATGGGAGCTTTCTGACCGCGGTCTGACTTTTTCAAAAAAATAAAAACTTGTAATAGCCACCGTACCTAACTTATCAGCAGATCATTTTTAATCAGCTTATCAGCAGATTATTCAATAAGCTGCAGCTGCTTCAAACAGTCCCTTAATATGCATTTTCTCTATTATAGACTGATCAAATGGATTGTCTTAACCATATTCGTTGGATTAAGACCTGTATAGCTGTTTCCTTTTCTGGTTTAAGGCAAGATTGTCTCATTTCTCTTTATATTTTTATTATTATTATGGATGTTTTTTCCTTCATGTTTGATATTCAAAATAGTTATCTTATGCAAGGTTTTGATAAAATTAATCATCCTATATATAATGATGATCTCTTATTTTTTTAGAGATGCCACTCCAATTATACAATATCTGACCAATGTTCTGAATATTTTTCGTTTTGCTTTTAATTTAAATGTTAATTTCTTAAAATATGTTGTTTGTTATTCTAAGAAAGTTATGATACTTTGCAGCATACTATATGTAATATTAATGATATGTTTACCAAATATTACTATTAATTGTTATAAGCTCAATGTGATTGATTGCCAAATTATTATTGGTAAGCTTCCAAAAATAGTTGGGTGGCTGGAAGATAAAAGTTTTGTATATGAATGGTTGTTTTCAATTAATTCATCACACTACTAGAAATTATCTTTATTATTAATAGGACTGTAAACGAGCCGAGCATGAGCGAGCTCGGGCTGGGCTCGTGTTTTCCTCGTTCGAAATTGGCTCTTGTTCGAAATGACTCGTGAACAGTGTGTTCGTGTTCGGCTTGAAAAATTTATTCGTGTTTGTGTTCGGCTCTTGTTCGACTGAAAATTGGCTCTTTAAAATATTAAATTATTATAATAATTAATTTTTTAAATAAAATTAAAATAATAAATTTTCTAAAAAAACAGTTTGTATAAAATTAATTAATGATAATTTATAATATTTAATTTTATAAATATTATATATTTATATATATATATATATATATATATTCGAGCCAATTCGAGCCGAACACGAGCGAACAAACTTTTGTTTGTGTTCAGCTCGTTTACATTTCGAGCTTAAAAATTTGTTCGTGTTTGGCTCATTAGACTTAACGGACAAGCCGAACACAAGTTGTTCGCGAACAACAAGCCAAATTGACATCCCTAATTGTTGATTTCAATATACTTCCTTACCCAAATATATTAGAAAGAAAATGACTTATCTGATTAGTAACTTTTTTTCTCATAATAACAGTGATAATAAAATGAATACTACTTCTCTTCTTAAAAAAACATTGACGTATTCATTCTTTAAATAATATTAATTTGACTTGTAGGCTATAATTATTTGGAGGTATTTCAATTCTTACCCTTTTTTTTGGCCAGATAGACCGTGAATCACTACAATACCTCTCGGATTAGCGCCATTTCCAAAATCCCTATTTTTTTGAAAGATCATATCAAAATTATTTTTAAGGTGAAAATGTCTTATTATTTTTCAAATTAACACTGAAAACAATCTCATTTTTATCTTTGGTCCTTGGATTAAAAGATCACCTCTGTTGAGGATACATTTTCTAATGGCTGTTGTTTTCTTCCTCATCATTGGACTATCCCTACTCATTGTTTGAATCTTATTCATGACTTCCCTATTCTTAATAACTGTTGTAGTTGTCTCTGGAGAGAAATGTATTATCACAACAGTAAAAATGTTTATCATTTTACTTATGAAAGCTTACTTACTAGAGATTGGAATATATTAGTTTGATACAAATGGTATAATATTGATCTGGCTTTTAATTTCTTGGAGAGTTTTCAATACTGGTCTTAAAGCTATTGATATTAGCCTTAATTATTTTATCCACAACAATGATTTAGAACATAATAATCATTTATTTTTTGAATGTTATTTTTCTACTAATTTTATCGAACAATTGTACTCTTCTTAGGGATTTTTTCGTTAAAAATTGTACCATGTTGAGAATATTAATTGTAAAATTCACAAGAGTTTTTACCTTTTGTCGTTTTAATATATTGCTTATGAATTCAGATTAGAAAGGAATAATATAATTTTAATAATTTTAATACTTCCCATGATATTATTTCTAGAAGTGTAATTTGAAAAAGTAGGTAAAAAAAAAAAAAAAATAGATCGTTAAGTTCGATGTTTCAAATTTTATTGAAGTTTTTTACAATTTGTAAGTGCTTCTTATATTTCCTATGCTTGTTGGTTGGTGTTGTGGTATGTTTTAAAATAGACGACGAAGCGAAAAATAAAACGAAAAAAATTCACGCAAAAAAGAACACATATATTTACGTGGTTCGGCAAATTGACTACATTCATAGAGTTGCAGAGGATTTTACTAATTGAGGAATTTACACATGTCGGTCCCTTCGACAATTATAGGAGAAAGTCTCCTACTTTCTCACTCCATTTTCTCCTCTCTCTACACCGAGATACACCGAAGAATAAGAAACAATGAAGAAATATAAGAGAGAATCAAACTTGTTATTAATGCTTTTCCCCTAATTTAAGGCCTCACCGTATTCCTACCAACCAAAGGGAGAATTCTCGCCTTGCAAATTACTATCTCTTCTTCCCTGAACAAGAATGTCGAAGCTAAAGGGAGGAGCAGCTTAAGCCTTTCGCTACGTTCTTTTCTTCTTCTGCTTCACAAAGGAGAGGCAAGATTTTCCAGTGCAGACAAGTGCTGTATCGTGAACGGAAAAATAAAAGCGGAGTTATGGGTTGCAACTCTTCGGTTCGCAGCGGAGAGAAGGCGGGAGCAGTTCGCGAATCGCATGCGGAAGCGGGAGTTGGCGGATGGGAGCGAGAACTTGTGTGATCTCTCTCTCTCTCTCTCTCTCTCTTTTAATTTAAACCGGGCTCCACCTCTAACGTTTAGTTGATTGCTTCTCTTTCGCTTTCCGTTCTCTGTTATTCCTATATTTGTTCTTTTTAGTTTGTGCTTATGTTTGGTTGGAAGTGTTGTTTTTTGTGTTTCTATGGTGGAGCTTCTTGTAGTGCTCCTGGCGAGGCTATTTTAACAATCATTGTTGCTTTGCTTATTGCAACTGGTTGGCTTATAATTTATTTTGATATGTTTTGTTTATCTCTCTTCCATATAAGATCAAATTTATACTTGATCTTTTCTTTAAAGTTTCCATATAAGATCAAATTGTTGCTCCACCTTGGAGCTATTGTTCTTCTAAGTTGTATATTATATTTTGCTTGTTTAGTGTGTCTGATCTAGGACAGCTTTTAAGTGCAGGGGCGCTTTTGAAAATACTGCGGTACCGTTTGGAACACACGTTTTGCCTTCTTATCCGAAAACATGATTCCATTTTTACACTAAACGCAGGCTGCAGGTCCAACTCTCCAGTCGACACGCGGCCCGCGTTTTAAAATAAGCTGCTTATCCTAAAACGCGCAAACTGCCCCAAACACACCCCTAGTGGGTTTCTTAGTGTTTATAGTATTCAAAATTTATAGATTTGTTGGTTGTATTTTATCTCTTTGTTAGTTTTCATTCTTTGTTTCGTGTTGAATTTATATCTTTAAATGCTCTTTTTATTTATTTAAAAAAAAGGTGGGTAACCCTAAATATTTCAAAAATAAATAAATAAATGAGTGGAATGTAGTTAAAATGGCCCCAAAAATTTATCCCCGACCTTAATTTACAGACGTAGCATACCAAACTTCTTTATTTAGTAATTTAACACCATAAAGTCAAATATAACAAAAGCCACACAAAAAAACGACCGGTTAACGCATCGTCCTCCCGAAACCCTCGGCGACATCCCTCCCAATTCTCCCGCCCAGAGCTAGCTCCGAAGGCAACGCAGGGGCATAAAAAGACCTCCGAAGCTCCCATCTATCTCCTCTGAGAAGGCAGCGCAGGGATCGCAGCATACAAAGACATCCGAAACCCTCTCCGACATTCCTCCCCACTCTCCCGTTTAGAGCTAGCTGGGAAGGCAACGGCGGGATCGCGGCATAGAAAGACCTACGAAACACCTTCATTTCTACTCATTCCGGCACGGTTGTACCAGAGAACACTAGGAAGGTAAACCATGTCTTTCTGTCTCTTCCTCACCCACCTAAAGCGCTTCAACTTCTATAATTTCGGTAAATTCGACTTGTAACGGGGTTTACTAAATCCTGGATTTAAGGCAAAACGAAGGAAAAGCTAGATTTAAGAATCTGTAGGATTTACATTGTTTATTTACTTAAGTGCCACACAATTCACATTGAAAAACATGCCTAACACCCAAATTTTGATATTTGCATGCCATTCAAATCCTATGTATTTACATATTATTCATCTAAACTTAAATTTTTTCATACATGCCAACTTACATATGTATTAAAAGATTCATATCACTTTTTAGAAGTTAAAATGGTGGTATTTTTTATGCAATATGAGAATTTTGGGTTGTAAAGGTAAAAAGTTTAGGTGCTAGATATTTAAATACTTCCAGTTTAACTTCTAAAATGTGAAATACATCTTTTCACACATAAGTATGTTGGCATGTATTGTAGTTTAAGTGTTAGATATGTAAATATATAGGAATTAAGTGGTATGTATGTGAATTTTACTTCTTTCAATTTGTCATTTAGAATTCTTTCTTCTAGCTTCTGATTAATTTTGAGCAAATCTTACTTGCAACTGGATTTTTACCATTGATATGATAATACAGAGCATGTCTTTGCTGTGAAATTTCCATATTCAGTATTTTATTTTCTCCTAATCCAATTTACACAACCGAAAATAGGCATCAACCATTTACTTGTTTCAACAGAAATATGACCTTCATGGCATCTCCTAGATACTTTTATATGTCAGATATAATTGCTAGATTTTGTACCTCAAACTAAAATACTAGTTGTTTTGAAGACCATTGTCAAGTTTTTTTCGAGTTTGGCTCAACATCTATAAAAACTACCATAAATAGTCTATTATTTCCATCAAATGAATTAGCAGACATAAGAACACATAGATACTCTGACTTCAAATTACAAACATCAATGCCAATTAAGCATCTAAATCGTGCTAGAAATCTATCAATAGAAACTTTGAAGCTAACATAAAATCTTTTAATAGAAGAATCATTTGTACTGCAACTGTATGTAATACGCCATTCATGTTTTTTGCTTCAAAGCTTTGTATGTTATGCAAATACCCACTTGTCATTATCATCGACAGATCTAAAAATGCTATCTCGTGCTTGCTATCTTAACTTCCACAACTTAATATATGACAACGATAGCCCGTATAAGCTATCTAAATTGTTGTTGATCTGCTTATGAGGGATCTTTGGATTCTTCTTCACAAAATCTTCTATTTGTTGAGCAACCCAAGAAGTTGTTGCTTGCCGGTTTCCTACTTAGTTTACTCTAGGGCATAAATGTATTGTCTTATCCAAATGACAGTTCATCAAAACATAATGTAGCTTTTACCCTCCAAGGACATCATCGATGCGAACAAACAACAACATTGTGAGTTCTATTCATAGCTATAAATTTTAGCCAAAAATCATTTTTGATTGTGATGGACTTGAGAAATTGCTTAAAATTGCATGTCATGAAAGCGTGCCTCGACTTTCAAATCATTTTTACCATTAGCTTGGATAATTAGATATCCCCAACTATAAATCTCTCTCAATACTTACATTATAGGCACAATCAAGATTTGTATAGCAGCTGTCCTATACATTATTAACTACTAGTGTTTCTTGACTTTGTAGACAAATTTCAGATTCTTCATCACTTTGTGTGATGATCACCACTCAACTCGGCCATATCCACTCGAGCGAACGATTATCTACACAACTTCAACTTCATTGGTTATAGACATGTACAATTTTGGTAATGTTCCCCTTTTATGATATTATAATTGGAATTCATGCCCTCTAATTCAAGTATAAATCAATTTAACCTCTTCCTTTAACACCACCAAACTCAACTCATCTTTTTGAATTTTAATAGTTTCTGATGACCGCCTTCATAATTTTTCCTCAATTGAATTTTAACTTGCATTCAATATCCACCATATTTGAATGTAATTTATAAGTTCTCATTTTGATCCACCAACTCTGTTTAATATGGACTAATTTGATAACCTTATATTTAATTTAATTAATTTGACTAATGCTTGCACAATCAGTGCTTGCTTTAAGAAGATTCTTAATGAAAATAGGGCTATTAGTGAAGCCAGTATCACATGCACACGCACGCGCGCACAGACACACACCCAAATGCATACATACATAAGTGTGTATATTATATATATATATTCCTTCGATCCTTGAACTTTTGTACTCTGAACTCTTCTTATCCTGTTTTGAGCGATTTTTAGACTTTGTAGTTTGAATGATTCCTCCTTTTAAATGCCTGATTTGATTATCTAAACCTTGTTTAATGCAATCTTGATTTTTAGAACATTTTTTTGGTGTCAACTAAGTTAAATTAGGGTTAGTTAGTTTTATCTATTAACAAATATTTTTTATCAGACATTTAATCATTATTTAATTTTATTGAGTGGTGATAAATTATTCAGTATTTTTAATCCTTCAGTTCATTATTTAATTTTATTGCGTTAGGTAGTCGATAACCAGCATAAAACTTGTCAAAAAATCATGACATGAATCCTTTTTCTCTAGAAGAAAGGCGTCGATATGACTTATATTTAAGTCATTAAAGATATGTATACTAGAGCTGTTCTAGAGCTTCGAACTGAAGAAGGATTGACCAAATATTTTCCTATTTCTGTTGGATTACATCAGGGATCGACTTTAAGCCTACATCAGTACATCAGGGATCGACTTTAAGCCCATATATTTTTTCTTTAGTTATGGATGGTCTTACTGGACATTTACAGGAGGATGTACCTTGATGTATTATTTTTGCTGATGGTATCCTTTTTGTGGATAAGAAGAGAGAAAAAACCTAGGAAAAACTTGAATTATGGAATTCTACATTGGAGCCTAAAAGCCTTCATTTGAGTAGAACAAAACTGAATACATGGAATGTAATTTTAGTAGTAGTAGCTCTATTAACAGAAGTGTAATTTTGGGTGATCAAATTATTAAAAGGTGCGAACGATTTAGATATCTCGGGTCTGTTGTTCAAAGCGAGGGTGATATAGATGGAGATGTTAATAGTAGAATTCAAGTTGGTTGGTTGAAGTGGAGGAATGCTTCGGGACTTTTATGTGATAGAAAAGTACTGCTTAGACTGAAAGGAAAATTTTATAAGATAGTGGTGAGACCTGCAATGCCCTGTGGCCTGAATGTTGGTCTTTAAAAGAGAATCATAATAATAAGTTAATTGTTGCGGAGATGAGAATTATTAGGTGGATCAGTGGCTTTACACTTAGAGACAAAATGTGAAATGAATATATCCGTGATAGGGTTGGTGTAGCTCCAGTGACGGACAAAATTAGAGAGAATCGTCTTAGATGGTTTGGTCACATTAAACGTCGACCATCTGATGATCCGATTAGGAGTAGATGTTTTAGATTCGACTTATGTTAAGGAAGACATAGGTAGGCCTAGGAAGACTTGGGCTTATTGTATAAAAAAAAATGATCTTAATTAATTAAAACTTAATGAAAATATGACACTAAATAGGATGCAATGGAGAAAAAAGGTTCATGGAGACGACCCCACATAGTGGGATTAAGGCTTTGTTGTTGTTGTGTGGTGACAAATTCTTCTATTTTTAACATGTTTTTGGTCCTAACTTACATTATATTATCCATTCCCTTTTTGTTTTTTTTTAATAAATTATAAATTCAATCCATTTAAATATTTTTTATGGCATGATAATTAACTAATTGCTCTTTTTCAGGAACTTGCAGAAGAAATGAGCAAGATGAAGGGTCTTATAAAAACGTTCAGATCAATAAGTCAACCTCAGGTTACATCTTGATACAGAACTACCTTATCTTGTGGTCTTGTCTATTGTATGGCAAAATGATTTTTCATTCCCCTCAATTTCTTCAAACTAAACAAAGCCTTAATGCTTATGCTTTTTAAGCAGCTTGTTTAGAACTCAATAAAGATAATGATCCAACTTTAGGTGAGCTAAAGCCAAATCAAGCATAAGCAAAGTCAAAGTAACAATTAAATTGAAGATTGAACAATTTAAAAGTTAAGAAGGCATTTTACTTTTGAGCAGCCTCAGATTAATAGTGACAACAATTTAACTGAAGATTTAAAATATTTTAAAAATTTAGTACATATTGTATGTTATATGAAAGATCAAGCTTTGTCTAATTACCTTACTGAGTATGTGTTCTTCAGGCTCTTCTACCTTATAATTGTTAGACTTAGGAAGTTGATTTGATTCTTAATTGTCTTTTCTGTCCTAATGAATTTGACTTATTTCAAATGTCCACAAAATTTAATTTAATATTGCATTAACTTTTCTTGATAGTTTGGTAGCTAATCAGCAATAGAAATGCTATGGTCTGTATTTGACCATATTGGTGAGTGCTAATTGGTATTAAAGCAAATGGAAATTTACATGCATACCCCACATAATTCCTACTTATTTACATTTTAAACACCTAAAATATAATATTTACATGCATAAAACTTTGGGGTTATAAACCTTGGCTTGTAAAGGTGTAGTTAACTTTTATAAAGTCAGTAATAGTGGCATTTTTTTATGTGTTATTAAAGATTTGAGATTTATCTATGTAAATATGAAAGTTTAGGTGTTAGATGGGTAAACAACTAAGAATTGTATGGTATGTATGAAAATGCTCTAAAAGTAAAACAGGAAAACAGGACTAGATTTTTATACAAATAAAAATGACAGCAAACTATGCTATATGTCATTGCATGCTTAATTTTGTACCCCGTTTGTGAACTCCACACATTTTAAATGCTTCAAAGGATGGTAGTGAAAATATCGTTTGTTTCATAACTAGTTATATGGTCATTCTATTCACATGAAGTTCTTAATAAAAGCATTTAAGATATTACCTTTGAGGATATCTAATGACATGTATGAAAACTAAGATTATTCATGAGATGGATATGCTAGAATCTATGTTTATTGAGTGATTCGAGTCATATAGTTGATCTTTCTGTCCCGATGTTATTTTGAAACTGTTCAACCATGTTTATTTAGATGAATCTCTTGGCATAATTGGCTCCATTCTAAAACTTCATAATATTTACCTTTTTATGGCATTCCATTGAAACAGATGGCCAAAAGATGAACAAAAAACTTGATGTCATGCCATGTCTATTGCTTGTAACTTCTCAACACTATATCAAAATGATAACTCGTGCTCTTTTGAACAATACTTTTTTGGGGTATCCACATAAATAGCACATAATTCTTATGTATATACATATCTCACACCCAAACTTTCATATTTACACATAAATCACTCAAACCTTTAATTCACATCAAAAACAACATTGTTATCACTTTTTAAAAGTGAAATACATTTTTTCATGCATAGGTTTACAACACCAAAGTGCTATGTATGTATGAAAGTTTAGGTGTGAGATATGTAAATTCATAAGAATTATGTGGCAGGTTGTCGACACTAAAAAGTTGAGAAGTTGCGCGTTGGAAGCTGTTGGTCGCCGGAATCGAAATCCCTTTGCCCGCTTCGGAAGGACGTTTAATTTGCATATAGATTTAAGTTTAGAAAAATATAAAATCAAACTGACCCCATATTTTTCACAGTTTAAATGAAAGAGCATTGTACCTCAAACCCTGTATCCATCCCTAAGGATAAATACAAGACTTGAGGGTGAGACTCGATCAAATAAACTAAGAAATATATGACGTCCGTTTGGTCTGCGAAACCATTTTATTTGCCGACAAGTTCTCATATTTAATATGAAGAATTAAAATGAGTTTATATTAAGTTGAGTTCGGAAAAAACTTTCTATAAGCGCAGACCCTTATAGTTAATTACATCTTAAATGACGAAAGTCACCTAAGAAACTCTCGATAAAAATCAAGAAATATTATCTTCAAAGATGTCAAAAGGATATGACTTTTCAATGAGATCGGACAAAAATGTGTGAAATGAGATTGACTCAAATTTGGAACATTTTGTTGTAGAGTCCAAAGGGTAGAGTTTGTTGTAGAGTCCAAAGGAGGAAGAACTAGGGGATGCCACAGATCCGAAGGAGAACCTCAGTGACTTCCCAGTCTACCCTATGGTTTGACTTCAGTTTCTGGGAGAAATTATTTAAGTGTTTCAACCTGTCAATTTCATTAATTAGGGTTTACATGGGTTTACATTCTTACATTCTTGTGAAATGATCACACAAATAGTTTGGAAGATGTGAGGATTTAGGTTGTGACGGACGACAACCTCAAAATCCTAACTCAGGTTAGAGCTTATATTGTACAACAGAGTTGTACAAAGGCCTAAAGAAAGATTGGGGATTTATGTTGCACTAGGCGTACAACCTCGAAATCCTATGGATTGTTGTTTTAATTTCTAAGGAAGGAAATTGATTTAGTTGGGGAAGACAAATTTTGCTGTTGAGGGTGACCGTGCTGCCCACCATGCTAGCTTCAAGCTCCTCGTTGTAGCAACTTCGAGTTCGATGTTAGTTTTAAGTGTACATGCAATAGTTGAGTTAACAATTTGCTACCGGGTACCCCCCATAAAACCAACTACTGTCAACCTATTCTAAGGTATAGTGTGCAAAAGAGACAGTAGCAGGTATAACAAATGAAAGCAGTAGAATGTACAGTAGACAAGAAAAAGTAAAGTGTGCTGTAAAATAAAGCGCTGTAAATGTAAAACAAACTTGTATATCTTAGAGGCCCGCTGCTCCTTTAAGTGTAATTGATGTAACAGTTATGAGTAGAGTAATAGAATTTAAGGAACGAGCTGACATGTATTGTATAGGCAAAAGTGAACAACAAAGGAAACATCGCCTGGAAAACTCGTGGAAAATCGACAAATAATCCATGACGAAAAACTCGAGAAATTCGACGAGTAGTAATTTAAATAAAACTGTCAAAACCGCGGGAAAATCCCGGAGAAAAGACCACGAGTGCTTTCGAGTGCTTTGAGACCACGAGTGCTTTGTCCAAAAATTTTGATAAAACATATGAAAAAGTATAAAAAGAGGGGACCGCAAACCGGGTCGGGGCTAGGCTCAAATATATATATTTGTATTCGAGGGTCGTCGAAGGCTGCTCGGTCACCCGGATGTATAGAACCCGCCACTCAACTAGAAGAGTGTCCTAATAAACCTAACTTAGGAGGGTGTGCTTTAGCCCAAAACAGGTAATCAACAGGTGAACAACCAAGTTTAAAATGTATTTAAAATTTATATTTTTAGCATGCACATAAATTTCAGGCACAAAAGAAAGTTGTATCAAATTTGTAGTGAAAATATATATTGTTTTATTGTATATGTTATTATGAAATCTGTTTCTTATCAGTTTTGAAAAGTACAGTTTTGAAAAGTATATTTGAAAAGTATAGTTGTCCACGAGTCGATTACGCTGTCGGGCGTAGGACCGCCAACAACCTAAGAAGGTACGAATCTCCCGCTAGTCTTGTTTCGGTGAATGATATTACATCCTACGGCTCACCGGGTCTCTGGAGGGGGTCCTGATACCGTAGGATGGAATATCGTTCCGCTCTACCACCGACGTGCCTTTATCATCATCGCCCTAAGCCCCAAAACAAAATCGACCTACTTGCGACCTTGCTTGATAGTTTCACATATAACAAAAGACTATACGTGTGCATTTATGTATCAAACATAAGCACTGAAAATCGAACCAAGAAGCAAAAGAAAAAAAAGAATAAAAATGAGGATGAGAGAGATGAGGAACTAATCCACCTAAAACATCGAAGAGACGGAGGATGAATCAACTCTCAAAACTCATGACGAAAGGACTTGAAGAAGGAGGCCCCAAGATCCTTGAATCAACATGAAAGGATATCACTTTCTCATTTGGAGGTTATCTCATCCCAATCTTGTCTCGAGCGAATTGAAACGGGCCCAAGTCAATGTGACAACTGCATACGTGGCTCCACCACTGCTACCCATCCACACACATTCCAGCCTGCGCTCAACTGATATCACAACTTCAATGTCAAACTCCCGAAACATCATTTATAAATTCAATTTATATCAACCATATGCTCTCCCGAAATAAAATTTCAAAGTCTTTCAAACTTCACAACTCGAACAAAAGGAAAGTAACCCAGGTACGACAACTACTTATACTTCCAAAATCATGCCAACATTAAAGCCATTTAATTCCAGACTTAATTAAAAGTTCCTTATATCAAATAAGCATGAAATCATCCGGCTAAAACCACATAAATGCTCACGGTCAGGCTCAACAAAGAGATGAACAACTGCTAAGGCTCTCGGCTAAAGCAACCCACAAGGGACTCACGGTTTAGGCGATCAAGGAAAGGAGGGGAGCTGCTAAGGCTCACGGTTCAGGGCAGCGAGGAGCAGCTGCTAAAGCTCAGAGCCAAGGCCACCAAAAAGGAAATGGGGAAGCTGCCAAAGCTCACGACCGAGGCAACCAACAGGAAGGACCACCACTAACAACCGCTAAGGCTCTCGGCCAAAGCGATAAAAGAAACCAACAACTAAGGCTCAAAGCTCAGGCAACCAAAGGAAATACCATTAGCTATTTTACCGCGCTCCCTCGATATACATAAGAGAATGAATAAAATGATCATACGGGTTTTGGATGACAAACTTGATTCATCAACAAAATATAAGCTAATTGAGTCCAACAAGGAAGAGCCAAATGACTCCAAATAACCCACCAACAAGCTCACGGGTAGGGCTAAGAAAAGGCACGGGCCAGTTCCACTATAAGCCCTCGGGTAGGAGCAGAAAAAGGAGCACAAAACAGGCCCTCAACAAGCTCTCGGGTAATGGCCAGAACAAACGAAATCAAGCCCCTCCTCCAAACCACTTCTCGGGTAAGAACCAAAGCAAGTAAATCCGAGCTCCACGGAAAGCTAAAACAGAGCCATTCAAGGCCAAAATAGGGTCAAAGCAAGCAAAATTGAGCCCCCCCTTCAAACCAGCTCTCAAGGTCCAGAAAAGGCAAAGTCAAACCAAGCCAAACTCTCGAGTAGGGCCAAGAACAAGTAAAACACGCCCTGCACCAACTTTAAATCATTTGGGGATAAACCTGCACATATATTGGACTTGGAGTAGCCAAAAACATACAAATCCCATGCCAAAATAAGCTTCACAAGTACGAAAAAAATCAAGGACTAGATCAGGCAAAACTGAGCCCCAATAGAGGCTAAAATCGAGCCATTCAAAGCCAAAACATGGTCCAAGCATAGATTAAAACCCAAGCCTTAACATAAATTAAAACTCCAGCTACCTTAAGGTAAAACCGAGCCATCCAAAGCCAAGGAACGACCCGTATGCCTTTGAAACATCAAGATATGGAGCCAATATACACTTAAATAAAAACAACAACATAGAGAACATATTATAGAGAAAAAAACAACAACATAGAGAACATATTTGGGCCACCAACCTAACTATTTCAAGCATGAAACAATTTCCAACAAATATTTGAGCAGGGAAGAGGAGCTAAACCAAGCCCAACCAAGCCCTCAAAACAAGTTACAAGGCTTTCCAAATTAAATAAATTTTTTCATAGCATGCATTTCGTGTAAGGGAAAACCACAAGAGTTAAACCGAGCCCCATATATGTATGAAAAGTAAAACGAACTCTCTAGTATTCATTTTAAGCAAGAGTGATAGTAACAAAAAGCTTTACAGTGCATTCAAACATGTATTCCAGAGGAGCAAATCTCATTTCAAAGCTACATTCATAATACTTCCAAATATTTCAAGCAGAAAAGGAAAAAGCAACTAATAACATGCTCTGCTTTTATCGATTCAAACAAATAACTGGCCCCTAGAACATGCTTGCGATCCTACTTTCACTTGCTTGAATGATGAATATCTCAAAGTATATAAAGTATATTAGACTAGCATGCTGTACCGTCCAAAGAAAACTATTCCCAGCAGCCTGGCCGAGAGAAACCGAAAAGAAGCAAGACACAAAAGAGGGGAGGAGTACATCTTTAAAGTAGAATTCAACACAAAAATTTAAAAGTACTTCCCAGCTCAAACTCCTCTTCAACAACAAGAGGAAGTCAACCCAAGCACCAAGAAATAAAGAAGAGGGTGAGAAAGAATTTTTGCAGAGTTTTCCCTCCCTCTCAGAAATCATCATCTCCTTAGAAAACTTTAAGTAAAGCTTAATACAGACGAGAGAAAGAGAAAGAACGATCGGGAGATCGCAAACGGCTCGAGGAAACGAGTGGAGCAAACGCTCCATGCGGGCGGCTCGAGAGAGGCAGAGGGTAAGATCTCGCAGAGGATAGGATCCGCGGCAGTGATAAGGAATGAGGAGCCTGCGCTACGGTCGGGTGAGCGGGACGAGCGAGAGGAGCGCGGGAGTTTAACGGGACGGGCGAGAGACGGGCCTAGGGAGCGAGAGATTAAGGCTGAGGCCCGCAGGCTTTAGAGGGGAATAGGGAGAGGAGTATTAAGTATAGGAAATAATAATAATAATATTATTATATTACCCATTTTGTGTATTTTCTCCTAGGCGCGTCGCCGTAGTGAAACAAATATCTCCCCTAGGCAAAATCGACGTTCCGGACGCGTCGGCGCAGTCCCTTTCGCCATTCGAAGTCGTTTAGTCAACATCGTTGACGAGCGGGTCAAAAACGCGTCGCGATCCGATAGCTCAATTAACTAGAATGGTGTAGATGATTGTCACGGAGTGTTTAGAAAAGGTTCAGAATAATTTTGATTTGATTTGGGAGTATGAATGGGGTGAAAGAGGGCAACAGTGAGTGAACAACTCCAGACCAACATCCAGGGTCAACCCTAAGGCCAAGCAGTCCTATAGGAACTCATCTCGAACTACTCTATATTGACCCCACTTACTAAGTGCTAGAGGTTAGGACCAATGTAGGGAACTTCAAGTTGAGCAAAAAAGAGTATAGAATTTCTAATGGTGAATGTTTCTTTTCTAGTTTTCTAGGAATATTTAACAAGAAAGTTCTACGGCTAGATCCTTGACTACTAAAAAGGAGAGACTAAACCTCAACCAAAAGTGAGGTCAACGAAGGTAGGTAAGCTTCTCAACTTTTTTTTTGGATGCTAGATCATACTGCTCGCTAGCAAGAATGAGTTGCACTTCATTAACAATTAGCCAACTTTACGCCTTATTCATTAAAATTTGTTGCATCAATGCGCCAAACAGATAGGTTTTGGATGCGCCATTTTATATTGATGAGAAGTTACTCACTCTTAGGTTGATTGGTAAGCTTAATTTTGCACTGTTTGGTCTGAAGTTCTGTAGAAGTCCCACGTGTTAGTTTTCAGTTCAGTTTCACCATTATATGTTTCTGATCTGAATGCATTAATTCAGTCTCATGGCTTCTATCCAAGCTATATCTCGTGTTTGGTGAGATGGTAGGCTTTTTGATATCAGTAAGGGAAATTTACATATGTAGCACACAATTCTTATGTATTTACATATCTTAAGTCAAAATTTTAATATTTACATATAGATCACTTTGGTTTTTTAAACACACATTAAAATATGTATTTCACTTTAACAAGGTCAATGCTTTTGTTGATTTGATATTAAAGATTTGAGTGTTGTGGATAAATATGAAAGTTAAGGTGTGGCATATGTATATAAATTAGAATTGTGTGCTATGTTTGTAAATTCCCCTAAATCTTTTTTTTTTTTTTAAGATTTATTTTTCTAGTCATGAATGTAATGAAGTACTCGATGGAATGCATTTTTTTTTGGTAAAGTTTTTAAATTTAATTGTGCAGTTCCCTGCAGGTCATTCCTTTGTTAAGGCCAAACAAAGGTTTATATTATCGATGTCTAGCTAGCGAGACTACAACTTCAGGTCAAACCAATGTAGAGAAACCTATTGAGAATGCTTCTACTGAAGGCAAACAAACTGGAAACCCGGATCAAACCACTCCGCTTGGAAGGTCTATTCGTGGAGGGGTAAGCTGCTAACTGAAATTTCTCATATTCTTTTTCTTATTAGTAGTTATGAGCAATATAAATGCAATTATGTTCTTTTTTTTGTTAAGTCAATCAAGAAAAAAATGAAAATTATAATGCATTTAGTGGAACCACTTAAATCAGTTAATCCGCAAATTGATAGCATATATTGGCGGCTATGTTCAATCTAGTGGTGTTAGATATGAATTATGTGATGATTTATTATATGCTTATACGTGGAGGGGTAAGTGCGAGCTTAAATGTCTCATATGCGCTTGCTTTCGGCTGGCTGTTGCTTCTCTGTAGGGATCATACTTTATTGTTTAGCTGCGTTTCATTATGGTTTCAGTATTATTATAATTAGTATTAGGGCCATTTACATACATAGCACTCAAATTTTAGTATCTCATTAAACATAGTTCTATTGTCACTTTATAAAAGTGAAATACAGCTTTTTCATGCATATGTTTATGCGGTCAACTTATTCGATTGATTAGATTTATTTGAAAAATATGGTATATGAAAATAATTTTTGAAATTTAATTTAAGTATAAAAGATATATAGTTTAGGTTTTGAAAGTAGTATGTTTTAAAATGAGACCAAATAGATCTCATTCGTCCGATAGTTTGCGTAAAAGTGTCTGATACCGCGAATACTACACCCTCCCGAAAGATAAGTGTAGACCTCGGCGATAGACCCAATCCTGCAAACTAAGAGATTTATGACATCCGTTTGGTCTGCGAACTTTTATATATGACCGACAAATTCCCCTATTTAATACAAAGATTAAATAGAGTTTATTTTACCTGGGTTCCAAGTTCCCTATAGAGGCAAGCCCCTATAGTTAATTACATCCCAAATGACGGGAGTCATTTGAGAAAACTCTCGATAATGATCAATGGTTCTAGTCTTCAAGAATTCAAGGTTCAGGTGAGTGGCTCAAACATGAACAGTTATTTCAAGAGTCCAAATAAAAGAAAAGGTAGGGGATGTCATAGATCCTGAGGAGAATCCCAGTGACTTCCCAAACTATCCTACTGTGTGGCTACATTTTTGGAGATGAAATTAATTAAATGTTTGATCTTGCCAATTTTATTATTTGGGACTTACATTTGCATAATATCCGATTATGCAAATCACCCACAGAGAAAGGAGGGTTTACGTCGTACCACACAACAACCTCGGAACCTAAAGCGAGTTAGAACTTATGCTGCACAACCTGGTTGTGCAGGGGCCTAAAAGAGGGTGAGGATTTACGTCGCTCTAGGCGAGCTACCTCGAAGTCCTATGGGTTATTATTATACTAGGAAGAGATAATGCTGAAGAAGATCCTCTTGCTGCTCGGTCTGAATCCCTCGCCATGCTGCCCATGAATTTAGCTATGAAACTCTTATCGTCGCGATTGCTCCAGGGTTTA